CCCATAGTTCTGCCATAAAGAAGAGGAAAATATGGTAACCGTGAGCTTTGAGAAGACCAACATGAAGACAAAATAATTCTTTTTTTTTTTTGAAGAAGAAGATCAGCCTTGAGCTAACATCTGCTGCCAATCCTCCTCTTTTTGCTGAGGAAGACTGGCCCTGAGCTAACATCTGTGCCCATCTTCCTCTACTTTATAGGCGGGATGCCTACCACAGCATGGCTTGCCAAGCGGTACCATGTCCTCACCCAGGATCAGAGCCGGAGAACCCCAGGCCACCGAAGTGGAACGTGTGCACTTAACCGCTACACCACCGGGCCGGCCCCCAAGACAAAATAATTCTTAATTTTACCCAACAATCAATGCCATGAAAATATTCCAATGAAAGAGTAACTTGTAATTTTAAGTGTAGGTACACACGCTCTGCAGTTTCTTCTATTCGCCCTTCTTGGATGGAGAGTAAAGATTCGAGCTGAGTGCTTACTCATTACCCTTATTTGGAAGCTCTGAGGAACCACGGCAGGAACCCAATCTGCCCCCTGTAATTCTACAGGATGGGTGCTGGAAAAACATAAAAAGTTTGATTTCTATACCTAAATCCAGGGAACGGATAAATCACACAAGGGCTTAGGGCCAAAAACAGGTGGGAGACCTAGCGCAGATTAAACCCCATTTCACACACACACAGCCTTGGGGACAACATACAATATAATGACCCAAACACAGCTTTTCCTGTCCCCATGACCACGGGGACACAGATCTAGGGCTTGAGAGTCACTAAGACCTAGAAAAAAATGAACTGCTAACTTTGCTTCTTTAGGCCACTAGTGCCCACTTTTTTAAAACAACTATATACTACCAAATGATGCCACTAATAAAGAGGCTGGTGAAATTAGTGATCCATCCAGCGGCTCGATCAATAAATTATCTGCCATTCCAGTTAAAGCATGCACTGGAATAAATCATGGACGCAAAAATCCTCAATGTTGACAACCAGAGAAAAAAATAACATACCAAATTGACAGGAATGACATCTAAACCCAGCGACTGCCAAATACAACCTGTGAAATGTTCTGTCAAAATAAAGATGTGGAGTCAGGAAGCAGATGGTGAAATTCTTTCTAAAACCTCACTTAAGGGAACATTTTAGGCATTTCTGACCGTTGTGCAAAAGAAAAGAAGGATGTTTCATCAAGTGTAACTCTAGCTGAGTTATGATAATAGGTTGCTCCAATCCTGCCCACTTGGCTCAGGAAGTAACCGGCTTAAACGGGGGAAGCCGCTCTCAGCGGGGGACGTGAATGCAAACCCTAACGACGCAACGTGAAAACTCTCTGCAGCTCTGGAAGGATTTCAGGAAAGAGCTGGGCTGGGTTTTACAGTCAGAAGGCAGCACTTCCTTAGTTCCAGTTTAGCCGATAATGCTTGGTGTCAAGAAGTCACCTTCTTTATTTGAGAGATTTCTTTTAGGTTTTTGACCCATTTTCTTGTTTCCCAGGCTGTATACAGCACTCACGAACCTTCTAGACAACTAATGAATAAGCGTGAATACTGTTGTCTCCTCATAGCTCCAGCACTAATCTTTGTAACACTTAAAGGAAATAACTCTTCTGGGTTTGGGGTCTATAAACCTGCAATCACACAAATGATAAAAACTAACCACCCTGGGAGCAGGAGGAACAACACACGAGGCAGGGCTGGGAGATGCATCTCAGTTTCTGACCTGGGTGAAATCCTGCAGAAATGCAAAAAGATCTTCCACATTTCATGTAGTCTACACTCTCAGGTTTAAGAGCTTTTAAGTTTACATCTCACTAATTCTCCAACTGACCAACTTAGGAATTACAACTCTCAAAGTCAGAAAATAGTGCTTTTCGGTAAAGAAAGAAAAGATACGTAAGTAAAAACAGGCATCAACCCAAAACTTGTGTAATATATCTATTCTACAAGTGACAAATTCTGAGAATAACTGGGGGGGCTGAGGGGATCAAAATGCCACGCAGTAGAGGGACTATTTCAGATTTTACAGGCAGCGACACTGTCCTCAGGAGCACAGCTCTCTCTATTCAGACTTCCCACGAGAGCAGGTCTTTCTGTAGGCCACATAGCTTGGGCGATACAACGAACTGGGATATAAAATAGCCTCTTTTTAGAATGGAGATGATACAAAATCAGTTTCTGTCCCTATCTTTTCCTCCTGAAAACCGTTTACTCTCAATCTAAATTTACGCTCCCCTTTGGGAATTCCTGGCGTATTTCTTTGACGTGTCCTCCACTTTAGTACCAGCCTCCAAAGACCCAATATTCAGAGGCTACCCGTCAAAGAGCACTTTTTGTGGCTGCTCTAAATGAGTATAACACATCTGCAACGGTGTACAGGAATTTGCAAACAGGAAAGTTAAACCACGAGCACCTCAGTATTGGTGTAACAGATGCTCTCACTCAATCTACCCTACAGTCTACAAATACTATTTAGGCTTAAAAATATGCAAAAGAAGATTTTTAAAAATGCACAAACCATCTACAGAAACATATCGTGCATTTTTGTTGTGCCCTTCATCATCCCTTCAATCATCTTCGGAAAGCCTGAAAGGCAAAAATCTACATAGCTGAAAGACACCACCAGAACCTGAAAACTGTTCAACTACACCTTGCACATGGCTGACCTGGACGCATCACTGAGGTTTTGCCAAGAACCAGACTCAGGTGGTAAGAACCATACTTACTTTTTCATAAAATATTCCCTCATACTTTACATTAACGTCCAGTTCTACGTGTATTCTTGGCATGTTTTAAGCTAAAATTTGATTACTGGTGTTTACTGGACTCAGAGCCGGGTGATTTTTCACTATCCACTATGCCCACCCTCAAGAAGGCCGGAGAGCAGGAAGAGGTGGGAGGCTGGAGTCAGAGCCGAGGCCAGAGCTCCCCTCGTGGGGTATATTTTTGTTACTTCTCACCCCAGAACCTCGCCACCTCAGGTGACCACTTAAACTGAACTGTCACTTCCACATAAACGATATAGCGAAGTGGAGTACATCACACTGAATAAGAAACAAACGAAAATAGAGTATCATTTACTTCACTAAAAATCTTGTTCTTTCTTTGAAACTCTAAACAAAATTGATCTCATTAGCAAAGGTATTCATTCTTATTTTTTAACAGGTAAATTTTAATAACAGCTTTTATTCCCACACAAAGCAATCTAACTTTCTCAAAAAAAGAAATGGCTGCACAGAACCCTTTAAACGTAGTTTGTATCATTCCAAATAGTAACAAGAAGTAAGAGACATGGGGGACCTCTGTGGTCATGGGTGACCCTAGCTGTCCCTTAGCAGAGGGTCAAAGCCAGTTTACTCCCTAACCTTAGGCAAATAACAGTAGTTCCTCAGGATCCCCGTTCAAATAATTTGTTTTAAAGACCTACCCTTTGGCTGAACGGGTTATTCTTAGCTAACAACCACTGCCAATCTTCCTCTACCTTATGTGTGGGATGCAGCCACGGCTTGATGAGTGGTATGTAGGTCCGCGCCCGGGATGCAAACCACCGAACTCTGGGCTGCCAAAGCTGAGTGCACGAACTGAACCACTACGCCACCGGGCTGGCCTCCTGAAAGGGTTATTACAATGAAGAGGAGACAAAAAAGAATGAGAGAAAAATGAAAAGTAACAGTATAGCACGAACATTTCCACCGTAAATAGTAAGGACTCTAGGCGACACATGGTACCAAGTTTATGTATCTGAAAAGACTTTAATTTTTAGGACATTTAAAAGAAAATCCTCCTCCTAAGTACTTTTAAAGCAGATCAAACTATAGGTTTACATTTGACAAAGTCTTACGGACCACCAGATATGTAGAAATAGGAATTCCAAATATTTCAGTTCTCTGAATATACAAAACCAAATAAGGCACAAGGACCTAGAGAATAAACAAAGCAAGTCTACAGTGCTTGAGTTCATGTGATTTGGGGCCATTCTATTTTGTCCTGTAGGATGATTTAAATAGCTCTGTTACAGATATCTACATTTATTCAGCTTGTTAGAGATCCAGTAATTCTGAAACTTAGAACATTATATATATAGGCTATAAACTTTTCCAAACTCTAGTGTTGGCATAATCTAATTCAAAATTTAAAAATCTTCAAAAAGACTTTCATAAAACCCTCTGCTTATCTACTGCAAAATATAACTTTAAAACAAGACGATACTATACTATTACTTATAATAATCAATAAACTAGTTAGAATAATCATTGTAATGTCAAGCTAGGAGGCTCTCCATTTTCCTGTTTGGCTTTCAAACAACCTTCACTTCTGTGCATCACACACTGACACCCCTAAACAGACGTCCTAAGCTGATCCTGGATGTTCAAATGCAGCAGAAAAATTAACATTTGCAGCCATCATACCATGCTAGTGCTGGTGTGTGTAGTTGTTTGACCATCTTGCTGCATTTTTTTCTTTATGTTTTATTTGAGTAAGTGGAAGAGGAAAACAATCAAATGGCTGATATTATAAGAACTACTAGTCTCTAAATTTAACACAACTGAGATAAGAATGGAAATCAGGAGGAATGAAGACATCTTTCGCCTCAACTGGGTGCTCACAGGACTTAAACTATTTGGCTGTGCTCAACTGAGAAAAAAGGCAAATGCAGAGAATGCGCAGAAAATATTGGAAATAAATTATCTAAGACTATGTCTAAAACACGAAGCATAATTGGGAATTCCAGAATGATTTAAGATCTCTACAACTCCTCCCTATTTTAGCCCATTATCTTTTGCAGAACCAATTTTCACATGTATTTTTAGGAATGTATTGAGTATGATATGAAAGAAGAAAACTTCCTGTGCTGAAAAAGAAGAAAAAATTGGCCTAAGACCAATTTTTTATATTTCCTGAATAATTCTGTATGAATCTGTTTGAATGAAGATCAGAAAAAATTGCCTTAGCAATCAACAGATGCAAACCAAGAAATTAAACACTGATCTACAGCAAAAGTTGCTACACAAGAGACGTTTATTAATGTTCTGTTATATTTACAGTTTTAACATAGCAAACCAAGGTGAATTACCACTTGGCAGAAAGCACATCATCCTACATTTATAACGCATCAGTTTCTGCTAACACATTGTAAAAGCAAGTAATACAGTATGTTAGGGATCATCTCAAAAGTTCCATGCTAATTCTTTCTTTGCTCCTAGTACCTAATCCCCTCTCTACTCCCAGCCCTGGGCCTAATCATCAGGAGACAAAAGAAAAGGAAAAAAAGAGGTAGGGACTCTAATCACACAGAAAGTGTCAAGAATTGCATTTTAATAATTAAGGTGCATTTGTCCTTGTCCTTTCTATTTTATACAGTGACAACACCTCTGCAATCCCTTAGGTACACAACACAGAACAAGGTACTGCAAAATTTAGAATACAGACTATAAAAAATCAATGTTTATTATTGACCAATTAAGAACACATTCTTGACCACACTTTAAATGTACTTTGCACTATGACTTTGCTTCCAGGTGTTCACAGTACAACTGAATAAATTTCTAGATTAATTTTAACAGCAAATATGGATTATGTGCAGAAATGCAATCATAACAAAAGTTTTAACTTTTGAGAAAATCCCTTTAAAATGGCCAGCATTATACATATCTTACACTAAAATATTTAATTCCAAATTCATTTTGAGATGGAGGATGAATAAAGCAAGACTGCCCCCTACTGACTACAGGGACAAGGCTCATGCTATTAAAATGACTACAAACAATAGATAAGGCATTATTAATACATCACAGACTTGATTGCGAGAGCTTTTACAAACATTAACCACTAATGATTCAATGATTACAGAATTCTGCATTAACTATTAAAATTTTACACCTAGGAACAAATAGAGAGAAATGATCTTTTTCAACAGTACTTTATTTTTTTAAAGCAGGTGATTATTCCTCTGTTCTGCATCTTGATTCACTTCCTGCAGGTGTTCTCTTGCTTCTTGAGAGAGAATTCATAAACGCAGGAAGGCCTTTGCCAGAAAACATCTGCCAGAGAAGGATATTGAATATTGAAACTTTGAGTTAGCTTGTTATTTTGGCTGAGAGGAGGATGTAGTCACAAAAGGAGGCAGGATGTTTGGAGACACAAGAAGTACATTTTAACATAGCTTTAAGATTACTATACACTGACATCATAGTATTCAATAAACATTAAAATTTCAGCTCTTAAAGTTATCAAAGACTCTAGAACTAGAAAGAACTTGAAGGCTTTCTCTAAAACCCATGAGGTCAGGGGTTTCTCTCTCCAAACTTCTAACAAAAGAACCCTGCAAGTAGCACTTCCTTCACCCCACACTTAACCTCGACAGCAATGACTGAAACTAGGGGACAAAGACACAGGAGAATCCAGGCACAGCGGTAATCTTCCTAATACACCTAAACCTACTGTTTACCCTGCCAGTTCTGCCCAATCTCATGCAAGGAAGACTTCCAATAAGGATGCCATGACGTCATGCTATACTTAGAGCACGGCAAACTAAAAAATGACCGTAAACTCATAGCTATCACAAATACTTTTTTTAATCAATTAGAAAAAACGTCAGTGTATTTTTGGGCATGTATCTCTGAAAAAAACCAAAAGATATATGAAGCCCCAAAGCTAATTTTTAAAAAGAAATCTATATGACTGAAATAAATGCTCTTAAAATAATGTCTAAACATTTTGTTAAATGCAGTTTTCATTTAACACTTTGAGGCATTTCTGTGTTAGCATAATAAATTGTTTTGGTTCTCATGGAAACAATGGGAAAAGGTACAAGCAACTCCCTATATTAATGCTAAAAGAAACACTAAAGAGATCTATTAATCACTTAAATATTTACTGAGAAAGTACTGTGCAGCACCGTGCACCAAGCGAGAGCTGGATGGGCTCACATATAGGCCCTTAGCTTACTTTTCCATCTTTCCAAACTACTGTAAAAGCCACAAGCAGCCCTTTTATATCTTTTCTGATTAGACTACTGTATAAATCTTTAAAAGGCTGACAAAATGCAGAGAAGCTACAACACTGGAGGAAATCAACAATCTTTTTAAACTGTTACTATTTGCCCAAACTCCAAATTCAGTTGGTGTTTTGATTTGAAGTAAACCAATGATATGGACACAAGAGCAACTTTTCTTTACATTGAGAGACCTCAAAATGTGCAGGAACAAAGACACAAGAATAAAGCAACTCCCAAAGTCAAGTAGAAGCAAAAAGAAAATGGGTAGACTGATATCGAATGGAGGTTAATGGATGAAAACTGATGTAATAATTACTATCATGTCAAAACACTAGAGATGCGAGAACATATGATACAGTCCAGATAACTACCTGGTCACTTCCCTTAGTTCATGCTGCTTCCGCAGAGGTAAATCAGCTTTAATAGGTCCCTGCAAGTCAGAGCCACTCAACAAACATTAAAAATCCATTAACAGGACCTAGATAGGTTACTAATGAGTGATCTCAATTACCTTATAAACTCCAAATGAAAAAGACTGCTAGAGTGGCACTCACCGCTCTCTGTCTAAGACCTGGAGGCCTGATCAGATCAACTTGACTCACAAGTTGTTACAAAAACAATGATGGAACACGAACTGGAGGACAAACAGGTTTTAAGGACTGTGGACATCATTACTAAACTGTAGATAAGACTGCTTCAGAAACAAAAGGAATCCAACAGCCTAGAGATTGTTTAATTTCAAGAGGAAGACAATCATTATTTTTGGACATTATGTGAATTTTTTAGCAAAAATTCCATGGAAACATTTCTGTCTTGCTACTTTATAACACAGTCCAACATATCAAACTTTAACTTGAGGTGAATTTCCTTTAATAAAATAACAGAAGTATTAAGGAGGAGGGGGAAACTTATAAAAAAGGAGAAATGAAAGAATTTATCATCACACGAAAAAACTTAAAATATCTGATGCCTAATAGGCATAGCTCACCAGGTGACAGCAATCACTCATTAGGAAGGGCTCTATCACATTAACGCCAGGGCTTACAGACGCTCTCTCCTCCTATTTGAGACGTGGTTAAAATAACAGAATTTAAGATCTATTACGCTTCCTATGTTCAAGTGCTCTTGGAGTAGCAGTAACATACCAGTTAACTGTGTGACCACCTTTCAGCTACTGTAGCAAGCCCCTCAGTTACCTGGTGGCATCATAGGAAGTCGTAGTCCATAAAAATTTATTTTCCAGTTAACTGGCAAATAAGAAAAACTATGAACACTTTCCATTTTTGCCCTTTTCAGATAAAGATATTTCTAAAAGGTATCTTTTCTTTTTAAACAACACAGAAGGAACATTTTGTTTTTCTGCTTCCTCACAGTCAGGCACCCCTGATGCCCTTGTGCCCGCCTCCAGCAGTTCCTTCTGGCTTTTCTCGCTACGGGGTAGGAAACCAGATTTCCTTTCCTAAGCTTAAATGAGCTCCAAAAGAGAATCTCGGAGCTGCTGCTGTTACCGCAGTGCATGAGCTTAGTTCAGCTTTTGTAACGTCTACTTTGGCTGATTACAAAGAGGCTTTCTGGGGTCATTTCAAGGTTGGTTTGTTTGTGTACACTACATTTTGAGTAGCCTGAATAGAAAAGTGACTATTTTTATACCTTTCTCCAGTAAAATGCCAGATCTTAGTACAGCATGGGAATTAAGTTATTTTTCTGTCATAGCAAGTTATTTAAAAAATGCCCTACCTGTGTCTTTCTAGCAAAAAGTAAGCCTACAGCTGGCTTTTCCCTAGTGATATTTCCATTAAATAAAGTAAGAGGTCGCAATGAAAGAAAATAAAACCTTCACACTTTACATGACGGTTTTCCGGCACATCTTCAGACTAAATTAAACTGTATTTCCTCCGAACTAAAGAAAAAGACATCCTACATTTGGATCTGGATGGACAGTTCTTACCCTGTCAACGGACAAAAGAAATTCTGTCCCACAGGATATTATGGCTTTCCAGGTTCCCTCTGGGGATACTGAAAATCAGTAAGGAAGTCATTAGGATTCTAAATGCTGCTCCAAGTCCCCAAACCCTTAATTTGGAGCTCTGAGTTCTCTGGACACGTCAGGAACAATTTCAAATCAAGGAGAATGTCAAAGTCAGACAGGAAAGCAAAGCAATCCTACTCTGCCCTCCAACGGGAACGCTCCCAGACCTCTAAGTTCCTGACTACTCCTGAAGCATGATAAGCTTCTGACTCCAAAATACAGAGAACAGCAGGCCTATAACCTCCCTTCAAGCTCCAACAGCGTTATTACCAACGACTGCCTATTTCAGATCAGAACCCTTATGATGCTTTGTTTTAGAATACTCCCAGAAAACAGTCCAGAAATTTCAGAAAATAAAAAAAACCAACAAATTTTATAAAGAAAAAACCCTCAATAACGTCCCTAACGATACAGGAAAACTGAGAAGTTCAGGCTTTCTCTCAATCTCTAGAAGCAAGATGAAGGTGTGCGATTCCAAATAAAGATCGAAATTTCCTTCTAAGGGAAGAAGGAAGGGAACAGACAGAGGTATGATCTCAGTCCACTTAGAAATTCAAAGCTATCATTAGACCAAACCTACAGAATCTATTATTTAAAAAGAAAGAAAGAAAGAAATCTGTCCCCTGAGGACACTCTGGGCGCTGATGGATTAGGGGAACTCTGTCTTGACCTCAGGGCCCTCAGTAAGAAGGAGAACGGCCCCGCTAAAGAATTATCTTGAGTCTTTGGTAGGTAAGGGTTAAACCTAAGGCTAGGAAGTAACTATAAATTATAACCAGTCAAGGAGGGGAAAGAAAAGAGATGACAATGGTAATTACATAAAACTGCACAGAACACCTGATAAGCCTCTTCAAGTCAGGATGTTCACAAAGAGACACCACAGGGCCTAGGACAGTAGTGTCAATGTCCATCCATGTTCAGACTTTGTAACCTAATTCAGATTCAGGACATGCCACCCACTTTTAAACATGCAATAAAACATTCCCTTTCTTAAAAAAAATATTATAAACACAGGTGGTATGCTTAATGACTAAAATTTTCTTTCAAATAAAAGTATATACTCCCTTGAAGAAACTGACTTTAGCCAACACAAGCGTAAGTTTTTTATATGCTTTAACTTTCGTAAGACATGCCTTCAGAATATACTCCACCATGCAAGTACATGAGCTTATCTATCATTATAAGCTTGTTACTTACATAAGCACATTTAATTATACATGTAAAGTGCTTAATACAGTATGTAATACATGGAAAAGTTGACAAATGTTATCATTATACCATGCTTGAAAAAAATTGTTACATCCAAGAAGTTCTCATCATATTATTCTGTTGCCTGAAAACTTTCAATGCTGTCCCACCACCTGGCAAATTAAATATGGTGGATACTTTCTTTTCTAGAAGCAAACATCCTGAGACCACCACGAATCTTCAAAATTGGGAACTCCACTCGTAGCATACGATTCCCTATATAAACTATGATAACCCAACAAAGAATACAGAACAAATTGATGTTCATATAGCCTGAGACCTGCACTGAGCCAACATGTCACTGGGTTTAAAGGGCTGCTCTATGAATTCCTTGGTTCCACTGCAAATGGGTTTAGTACTCAAGACATCTGAGAACACTGTCCCAAGCTGGCTTTCCAGCCTCCACCCTCAACACCCTTGTGCTACAATCACACTGCTGTCCCTTGAGGGAGCTCCACCCCTCCCTGCTTCTATTTCTGCTCTTCACTTTGCTTCCGTTGATCCTGAAATTCTTCCCCACTCTATGCAACTTCCACTAGTAGAAATTCTACCTTTCATTTAAGGATTCTATCAACTGCTACACCCCTTACAAAGCCTTTCCTGGGGCCTTCAACTGGGCTGGCCCCTAGATGTCGCTCAAGGCCCCCCTCCACAATTTTAAGAGCTAGAGGCCTTGGTGGGCGTGTTGGGAGCTGGGTAAAAGGAGTTCCTAACACATCCCATGGTCTCTCCCAGCCCCGGGGTTTAGGGGCGGCACACAGTTAGAGCTGAGCAATCAGGCCTGAAAGGCTTTCTCGATACCATCCTCTGGAACTGGTATGACAGTAAGCAGAGGCTTCAGGATTCAAGATTCAAAGACTGAAGACCATGAGTCCCAGCCAAATATCCTAGCTACTTGATGACTACTAAGACGCTGACTCTTCTCCATTGTCAGAATCTGAGATAACGTTTTCTCCTATGGCAGTTTTTCTAACTTGCCTTTTTCAACAGCTTTTTGTAGAAACATCCCTTACTAAACTAGAAACTACTACAAGGCAAGGACTGTGGCTTCCTTACCTCCTCTATACCCCCTACCACAGGGGGTATACCCTACTCTAAACCTCAAGAGACATCTATAATGTATCACATGATGACACTGGGACTAGAAGAAAGTTTTTTTTCTTTAATACCTTTAATAAATAAAGAGAACTCTGGTCCTGGGGAGATTTGAGAAAGTTTCTGGCATCTTCCGAACTTTTGCATAATTGATAAATCCTCTGAGAAACAGGAGAAAGCCTAATTCAAAAAAGAAAAGTCAAGAATGAACTCATAATTTCCATATTAAGTCCCCTCCCCAGACATACCCCTCGATAGCGCTATTTCATTGTTTTTCTGCTAAAAGCTATCAAATCGTGAGCAAGTTCCCCAAAATTTCCAAAGGATTTCCACACCACACTTTCCATTTCTCAATGAGAAGACATAATCTCAGGAGCCAAATAAAAGTCTCCTTTGCGCATTCAGAATCTAATTGGTCTAAAAAGGAAACAAAAAATAAGATGGGGCCAAACATTTACATTTGGAAGTCCTACTGAGAAGCATTATCAAAACCCACCTTCTGAGTTCCAAAAAAGTATTCCTAGATAATTAACTCCCGAAAGAAGAGGTTATAAACTGTTCTTCTCAAGTAAAAAAAATTCCATCCTTTCTTGCCATAGGATTTTCTTTCTCTGTCGATAATATATAATGCTGTCCACTAGATGTCAGGATCCCCTTACCTAGTACAGCAATTCTTATCTTCTCAACTCTACTCTTTTTCTGTATTTTTTTTTTTTTTCTTTTTTTTTTTTTTTTTTTTTTTTTTGCTGAGGAAAATTCACCCTGAGCTAACGTATAGCCAATGTTCCTCTTTTTGCATGTGAGCCACTGCAACAGCAAGGTCACTGACAGACGAGTGGTATAGGTCTGTGCCTGGGAACTGAACCCAGGCCACTGGTGCAGTGTGTGTCGAACTCAACCACTAGGCCACCGGGGCTGGGCCTTCTATTTCTCTATTCTTAAAAAATATATACAAATAGGGTACTTTGCCATTTATTTACCAGGCAGTAAAGGAGTAAGAATGACTTTGTATGGCCACACCAGAATTTATATGTTCACAGAAGTCTGCACCTCGTGGAGGAGTCAGCGGGAAAGCGATGGGCCCCCTCCAATGGCAACTCAGACGCTCCTGGCCCTTCTCCTTCAGAGACAGATGGTCCCTGAGTCTTAGACACATTTTTTTTTAACACCTTTATGGAGATATAATTTACATACCATAAAGTTCACCCGTTTAATGTGTATAATTCACTGGCTTTTAGTATAGTTATGAAGTTGTACAACCAAAACCATAATCTAATTTTAGAATGTTTTTATCACCCCTAAAAAAATCTGTACTCATAAGCAGTCACTCCCCATTCGCCTGCTCGCTCCCTTCCTCCCCTCAGCCCTAGGCAACCACTTTATTTTGGATACATTTTAAAATACACTCAGTGGTGAAAAACTCTTTTTACTCAGAATTGAATTTGGCAATAACCAAGAGTCATAAGGACTGAGCTCAGTGAACACCATTCTGTTTGGCACCAAAAGCAACAAGTGACTACAGAGCAAGGGTCACCCCCTCAAATGCTGGGTGGGGGGCTCCTAGTGAACTGGAGAGCATATAACCTGTCTGGAGGAGACAGCTACAACTCAGCTCCAGTCAAACAGTGGGTGCCAATTTTGCTAGATATTCCAATTTTAAGAAAAGTAAAAAAAATTCAGATGTTTAAGTGAAAACTCTTGATTTTAAAATGATAGCAACTAATAAAAAAACTTCTGAAAATCACTGTGGAACAAACAAACCACAACAGGCTAGATGCAGCTTATGAGCTGCCAGCTCAAGAGCTCTGTGTAGACCTGGCCCGCACAGGAAAAACTCCAAAAAAATTGGTTCTCTCTGTAAGAGAAGCACCAAAAATGACCCAAACATTGGATCCAAATGCACTAAGTACATCCAAAGTCACCATTTTTTGTCTACTAGTAAGCAGTAAGATAGCAAGAATGATCAATTATAAAGTAGTATAAATTCATCTCCCATGAAACCTTAATATAGGAAGGAAATCGGTCCATTAAATTTCTTTAAACTTTCGATACAGTCAAAAATCAACCTCAAAATATGTTTAATGGCCCTTCTTTGGTCCATTCAGGATTTGTGTGGACTTCAGACTTGAGGAACAAGGGGTAGTCAACCTTTCTCTTAAAGATGCAGTTTGCAGAATAAGCAAGCCAAGGAACCATTCCTCCAAAATAACTCTCCTATAGGTCATTTTTATTATTAAGCTTCTTGGTAATCAAGGGAGGGGGGAAAAATCACTATTTCTCTTTCCTTGGAATTCCAATGACTCTTAGTAGAGTAGATGTTATTGGGGAGATAGGGGGTGACGAGATGGGTGACTTGTATTTTCTAAGTAAAACTCAGCAATGTGTGGCTCTGTCAACCCAGGGGAAGCAGGTAGGTCCTGAATGTGTTAGGCGGCTGTTGGGCATGGGCTCTACGCTGTGCTAGCCAGACCTATCAGCAGCACTGCCACCACGGGTTTTAATTAAGGAGGGAACAAGAAGGCCCAAAACAGGAGATAGGACAAAGTGATGTCACAGAAGCACAGCGAGGCAACTACGCCATCTTTAGCGGCCACAGGATGGCCCTGCTGTTGTTCTGTAGAAATGACAGCAGTGATGGTGGTCTGTTATTCTATCATATATATTTTTTTCACAAAGAATGAAGAAGTCAACAGTATTCACCTCAGTGTTCTTTGCTTTAAAATGTCTTGGGAGAAAATATTTTGAAATAAATGTTTAGAGTAAAAAATATAATCTTAAGACCAACAACCTGAAATGCCTGGTATGTTTAAAAAAAAAGGTCTCCTCATCACAAAATAATATTCTTATTCTCATCAACCGTGAACTAAAGAATTCTGGAAACCTAAAAGCAGCTCTTCCAGAAGCTATGTCTAGCAAGGCTACACATTTTCTGTTTACTACTGACAGATCCAACTGAAGATGGGCCACGCACACTCATGAGCAATTCAACTGGACGCAATATGCCTATAAGCAATTTGAGGTTGAGGTCTACGTACCCTTTGTGGCAATAACTCACAAGGGGAAAAAACCCACAGACTATAATGCCTACCACCACTAAAGGACATTTTATTAACAGGCATGTTATTCTGATGGTGACAATCTTTAAGAGAGAAATATTTTTTAAATTATACTTATTGATAACATATTACTGTATAGTAAGCGATATGAGGGTTTACTAAAAGTAATTTTTTAAGTTAATTTTTATTGAGTTTATGATAGTTTACAATCTTGCGAAATTTCAGTGGTACGTTATTGTTTGTCAGTCGTGTTGTAGGTGCACCCCTTCACCCTTTGTACCCACCCCCCCAACCCCCTTTCCCCTGGTAGCCACTAATCTGTTCTCTTTGTCTACATGTTTAAATTCCTCATATGAGCGGAGTCATACAGAGATTGTCCTTCTCTATCTGGCTTATTTCACGTAACATAATTCCCTCAAGGTCCATCCATGTTGATGTGAATGGGATGATTTTATTCTTTTTTATGGCTGAGTAGTATTCCATTGTACATATATACCTTATCTTCTTTATCCAATCATCAGTTGATGGGCACTTAGGTTGCTTCCACATCTTGGCTATTATAAATAATGCTGCAATGAACATAGGAGTGCATGGGACTTCTGGAATTGCTGACTTCAAGCTCTTTGGATAGATACCTAGTAGTGGGATGGCTATGGTATTTCTATTTTTAATTTTTTGAGAAATACCCATACTGTTTTCCATAGTGGCTGCACCAGTTTGCATTCCCACCAGCAGTGTATGAGAATTCCTTTTTCTCCACAACATCTCCAACATCTGTCACTTTTTGTTTGGGTTATTTTTGCCATTCTAAAGGGTGTAAGATGATATCTTAGTGTAGTTTTGATTTGCATTTCCCTGATGATCAGTGATGATGAATATCTTTTCATGTGCCTATTAAAAGTAATTTTATTTCTAAAATTTAATATAATCTTTTCTCTCCTTTGTCTATCTTAAAAGCACTTACCTAAAACCAGGAACACCCACCAGAGCCAGTACTGACCATCAAAATATCCAGGGAAATAGGTAGAAAACTGAAAAATAAAGCAAAACATTTTATAGCAGCTTAGCAGGCACAATTTCACATTTTAACTTAAGGGCACACAAAACACAAGACTTTGTTACGCTAATACTGTCATTTAGCTCTTACAATAATTTTTTAAAATAAGCAAAAGTATTTTATATATTACTGATTTGAAATGGTTACCATATATGTAAATATATTTCCTTTCATGCAAAAGCAATGTTGAAATATCGACTTTACAGACTCCTTGTTTTGAAAGTGCTCACATCTGTTTTTTTTTAAATCTTTTTTTTGCACACATAATATCTGCCCTTCTAGAAATAGGTTTTGATGAGACTTTTACTTTGCTTACCCAGCACCAAAACAAACTATTTAACCTCCTTTCTAAGGAGCCCTCACATTCTCCTGCTCCTCCAGTCATGCCTTGACCTCGAAGCTTTAGCACATGCATCATGACAATCCCATTCCTTTGCCAGGGACTGACACATTATTCTGACCAATGGGAACTGCGGGCTGCTGAGAAGGTTTCCCTGCTCTTAAAGAGAAAAGGAAGGGAAGAGATAGTTCCCTTTCTTCTGTTGAGCACTGCTGTGTTTATGATGTGATGTCTGAAACTGCCACAGCCATCTTAACCCTGAGGGAGGAGCAGCCAGACCTGCATGCTGAGCAGGAGTGTCAGTTTTCCCTGATGATGTCAATGAAACACTGATTTAACTAACCTCCCACCATGGCAGGCCTTGTTTTCTTGGGAAATAAATTTTCCCCACTGTTTTCTGAGCCATTTTGAGCTAGGTTTTCTGCTACTTGCAGACAAAGCCATCCTAGGGTACTGATACAAGTTGATTTATTCAATTCAGTTTAAAAATTTAGTTAAAAGTTTAGTAAAAAAAAGATTGGTAACTAATTTTATCTGTTTTCTATTGGGGGCTTTGGTGTCCAAGAGATTAACATAATTTAAACATTAAAATATAGTATTTTAGGGGCTGGCCCTGTGGCGTGGTGGTTGAGTTCAGTACATTCACTTCAGTGGCCCAGGTGTGGACCTACACTACTCGTGAGCCGTGCTGTGGCAGCAACCCACATGCAAAGTGGAGGAAGATAGGCACAGATGTTAGCTCAGGGCTAATCTTCCTCAAGCAAAAAAAGAGGAAGAGTAGCAACAGATGTTAGCTCAGGGCTAATCATCCTCAGCAAAAAAATAAAAAATAAACATATATAGTATTTTATTTCTTAACAAAATAACAATTAAGACTTAGAGAAGGAATGAAAAGCCTCTTTAGAGCTTGGGTTCTTAACCTAAAGTCCGTGTTTTAAATGAGTGTATACCAGCCATCTGGGGAAAAAGCCCGTAACTTTTATCAGTCTCAAAGGAACTTGGAATCTTAAAAATGTTAACAACTGCTTTAGAATAAATATGTTTGAAAAACCCCAGGGGTTAGTCAACAGGCATTAATTAATTTGAATGCCAATTTATGACGAATACATTGGTTTTATCTATAAAGTTGACAACAGCAATAAAGATCTGAAATCAGAGAACACTTTAAGAGACTAGATTTTTTACAATTTTAAATTACTTCACGCAATTCTAACTAATTGGTAATTCCCAAATCACTAAAGATCTCTAATTTAGAGATAAGGCCCCCTAACAGAGCAGCACCTGTTAAACAGTTTTGGTTCCCCAAACATTTTGGCATAACCAGTGATGCTACTGATAACCAATCCTGGACGGGAGGAGAGAAGAGAAGGAGGAAGGAGGGAGAAGCCAGAAGGAAGGAGGGAAGAAGACAGACTAAAGCTTTAGCAGAATTAATGAGATAAATGCCTGCTTTTGATAAGCCACCAAAGAGGTGACAGCCTTCCTTTTATTATAAAAATAACTAATTTCAGAACATACACATATATCATCCTATTATATACATTAAGAACAGAGAAAGCAGCTGGTGAGCAATCTGCAGGACAGACGCCAGTGGGCCACAAATATTCACTACAAAGCTTGTGCGCGTGAGCCAAGTGCAACTGACTGAAGTTCAGCTTCATAAAACCAGTAAAAAGACAAACCAAAAATAATTTTAAAGGTTGAGATAGTGCAAAAAAAGCAAATGAGATAAAATCAAATATTTGAAGTTACTCTACTTGTTACCTCTCTATGGAGTCTATCTTTTCTGGTGTGCAACTTACCCTGACAATCAGGATCCACTTAATTAGAGAGAGACCAAATCCTGAAATGGCCCCATACCTTCCTGCAGCTGAGGTGGTCAGGCAAAAAGACAGGAAAAACCCGATCCAGTTAAAGAGGAATGCCACTGTAAAAGCAGAGAGGGAGAAAGCGTCAGTCATGTCCTGTTCCCAAGGAGCAAGAGTGCCCTCTACCTTTGCTTCTGCTTAAACGGCTTTTCCAGGGATGAAAGACAGCCCAGCCTGCCATTGGGAATCCTCACCCCACCTCCCCAAAACATCTATCCTTCCGTCTTCCTCCCAAAAGCAAACAAGAAAACATCCTCTCTGTCAGGTGTCACACTGTTACATCTACTCCTATTCACTTTCAAAAATGCCTTAGCATCCACCAAACTGTATACTTATGACTTGTGCCCTTTACTGTGTGTGTTACACTTCAGCAAATAAATGCCTTGAACATTAAATTAGTGCCCCCAAATAATCTGATTCAAGTCATTCATCCTCCTGCTTCTATAAAGTTTGACAGCTTATATAACATCATCTCTAAAAGTGTTGCACTTCCTTCATATCTTTTTAACACAGCAAGTAAAAGAAATGGTTGCTTACTTCTAAGTGAGGCACATGGAAAGATAAATGAAAAATAACATCAAGTAGGAAAAAAATCAGGCTGACTTTAATCCATTAGAATATAAAAGTTTGCAAGACGGAATTCATCAGACAAAGGCATTTAATTCCTGTCCTCAGGTCAGGTACGAGTAGAAGCAACGCTAAGGGGCCCTGCAGGCCTGAAAGATGAGGCTTAGCTCACGTAAAAACGCAGCATCCCCATAACTGCTTTCATTATATTTTCCGCAGATATTCACAGAAATAGAACATGAAGAGAAAGAATGTTAAGATAAAAGTGTACTAAGCTCTGAATATCTCAGTAAAAGGGATCAAACAAATAGAATGTATTAAAATATTAGCTCAAATAGTTATTTTAATTCAGTCAGATTCACCCATAATCCAAAGCATTCTGGGTTGTGGAAAATGGCTCTGCTATGTGTAAATACTTACTGAAAAAAGTTAACATGAAAATCCCATCGTTTCCTATCCTCAGCTGGTCAGCATCATCAAAATCATCCCGACCCACAAAATCCTCATCCTAAATGAAAGGAAAAACAGTAAGGTAAATCACAATGTACTATTTCTAGGCAAAGGAAAGATATCAAAAAAAAAAAGAGAAAGAGGGGCTGGTCCCATGGCCTAGCGGTTAAGTTTGGGGGCTCTGCTTCGGCAGCCCAGGGTTTCGCCGGTTCGGATCCTGGGCGTGGACATGGCACCACTCATCAGGCCACGTTGAGGTGGCACCCCACATGCCACAACTAGAAGGACCCACAACTAAAAATATACAACCATGTACCGGGGAGATTTGGGGAAGAAAAAGCAGGAAAAAAAAAAGAAAAAGATTGGCAACAGTTATTAGCTCACGTGCCAATCTTTAAAAAATAGAGAAAAAAAGAGAAAGGGACAAAAGTGAGAACCAGGAGAAGATGTACTGCTTTGGCTCAATTCAAAATGTAGCATTAAGGCTCAGGATGTGCTAAAAATTTCATTTTGTCTTATAAGTAAAAGACATAATTAGAGAAAAAAACAAATCTTTCTCCTATCTCCATAGTTTTCTAAACAAAAGGAATTTTTCATTTTATAACCAAGTTCTTCAACGAAACACTTCAAAAATTAGGAAGTTCACAAAACACTACTCACTCTTTCTTTTTTGTACCTAAAAAAAGGATCTTTTGTATCTTTTATTGCTAAAGAAAAGAAAAAGGAGGGGCCGGCCCCGTGGTCAAGTGGTTAAGTTCGAGCACTCTGCTTTGGCAGCCCAGGGTTTCTCAGGTTCAGATCCTGGACACGGACATGGCACCGCTCATCAGGCCACACTGAGGCGGCGTCCCACATGCTACAACTAGAAGGACTCACAACTAAAAATATGCAACTGTGTACCAAGGAGCTTTGGGGAGAAAAAGGGAAAAAAATAAAATCTTTAAAAAAAAAAAAAGAAAGAAAGAAAAAGAAGAACATTTATTTACACATGCGGCTGAAATTCTAGTAATCCATATCAGTAATCTAGGGCCTATTTAGGGCTCAGAATGTTAGTAATCCAGGGCTTATTAAGGAGATAGCTCAAGTGCTTTATGAAACTGACATGGGGAAAAAAGGTCAGCATGGCCACACATGAAGAGTCTACAGGGCTGCCCACTGCCCAGCTCCATAACCATTGTTTACACTGGTATACGTGTGAAACAACCCCACCTCTAACCTTATTGGTGGATAGCATCCCTTCCATCCTAACTTGAAAACATAACATTGCAAGTCTAGAAGGAACATGATCTTGGCCAACACTGACACCAACTTATGTAGCCTACCTTTTCAACAGATGTAGGTATGTGTCAAGAAATTGAAAAATAAATGAATATACGCTTCAAAGTAAAAGTAGTAGACTTGTACACAGTCCAATGAGGGTTCCTCAAATGAAAAAAAAAACCCAAGGGGCTGGCCCCATGGCCTAGTGGTTAAGCTCGGCGTGCTCTACCTTGGTGGCCCAGGTTCAGTTCCTGGGCACAGTCCGACACCACTTGTTGGTGGTCATGCTGTGGCAGCAATTCACATAAAAAATGGAGGAAGACTGGCACAGATGTTAGCTCAGGGCAAATCTTCCTCAGAAAAACAAAAACAAAAACAAAAACTTTAGGGAAAATAAAACTTGCCCTACACAGAAAAGAGGCTGGAAAATCCCTAAGGAGCTGTTCCCAGTAGTTCCCCTGGGGAATGGGAACTAGAGAAAGGGGAAGTGTCAGTGGCAGCCTGCATTTCTGAATTAACACATTTCATTTATTGCTTGAAATTTTTATCACAATGTGTTTGTGATCTATTTTTTAAAAAACAAAATACCTAGTATTCTAACTTCATACCAGCAAGATAAAAAAGGCGTTGCCAAATTAGAAAGTAATTCTGTGTTTTGCATAAGTACTCAAAGATATACTACAAAAATACATGGAAGTAATTTCAAACAATATTGCAAATGCCTTCTAATAGTTCTTCCTGTCACTGGTGTCTCTACTACTGGGATTCCTCCTACAAATTGTTGCCAAGTTAATGTTTCTAAAACACACACCTGTCTTACCACACACCCGGCTCTAAACCTCTGAAGGATTCTGTGACCTACACCTAAGTCTAAATGCCTCAGCCTAGCATTCAGAAGATTCTACAACCTACAGTTCTGGTCACAAACTCTTTGCTCAAGCAAAACCAACTACTGCATGCAAAGAACCTGCTCTGCACCTGGCTGAATTCATGCCTACTTTGTGGGCTTTTCCCTCTCGAATGTTCTTATCCATCAAAACCTGGGGCCCATTTCAAACCCCATCTTTTCCACAATCACACAGTAAGAAGTCACAGTTCTTAATACTCACTGCTCTTGTGCTGCTCCTGAGATATGGGTATTTGTGGGCCTTTTCTCCAGTGCGATTTTAAGCTCTTGTACGGCAGGAAGATTGCCTTATACAAAGCTTTCTACCTATCCACTGCAAAATACACAGCACATTGCATAACAAAGTGCTCTACACATTTGCTAATAACAGAACCATGTAAGAGGTTCCTAGATATGCACACTTGTCAAATAAAAGTATTCTAAAGAGTTCTGTGATTAATCAGAACTAACCTCCTGGTCTATTTCTATGGGACAGTTACCATATATTCCAATAGGTTTACAGAGTACAGACAGTCTGCACTTTGGAGTCTAGAATATCTGGGTTTGACTCTCACCTATGCTACTTATTGGCTATATGACTTGGGGCAAATTACTTAATCTTTCTGGGCCTCAATTTTTGCATCTATAAAATGGAGATAACATAATCTCTACCTTGCGAGGTTATTGTGAGGACTGGAAACATTATTTAAAATATGGAAAAGCACCAAGCACAGTACCAAGCATGTCATTTGCTCCCAATACCTGGTAATTATATTAAGACTGTTTGCCCTTAGACAATAAGCTCCATGAGGATTCTTAGCTTCTCCCTGGCCACTTACAGGGACTGAATGCATATCACCATGTAGCATGAGCCTAGTCTGAGCTTATAAACTATTATTTCTGCCAAGCAGTGGCTTTAGGAGCTCCACTCCGCATTGGAGGTGTGGTCTGTAAACAGTCCACTACCCTAAAGTCTGAACTTCTGGGGCCTGTGCCACTGCACTATGCAGACTGAGCTTCTATTCTTGTTCTTATCTTTCACTCTGGTTTCCTGCCAGAACTAGTGCCTGGAACCCTGATCGCCCCACATTCCTGGGGACTGGATCCGGTTCCCTATTCTCTCAACGTCTGGCCCAAGGCCCTACCTGCATCAGCTTCAACCTGGATAAATATTTATGAAACCACATCTATATCACTTACAGGTCTCACATCAAGAACCAAGAGTGCCCAAAAGTCTCCATCTGGCTTTCATCACCCCCATCCCCACTCCCATGAATCAACATCAGGCCAGATGGGATCTGAATTCACTCTGCCCCCCAGATGGCATGATCTGGACTGCTGGTGGCACAGGGTTCATCAAGATGATTGCTGGGGCCCTTTTATGAGTTTAAGTCTTAGAAGGTGCACTTATTGATTCTCTCCATAGATTTCTCTAGCAGCTATCTACCTAAGACCAAAATAGTAAGTGTGCAGAATGAAGGCAAAGTCAGTGTGTCTCCTAAATCAGCTCCTGCTCCAAGATGTTTCAGCCATGCCAGGAGACCTGAGAAAGTGGTGGGATGGTAGAGACAGAGGGAAAATAAGCTGGCTTGACTAGTGATTTTCTGTTCATTTGGAACTTTTACCTTATCATTTTCAGGAAGAGGTGAGTTTACTATCCCAAAAGAAAATGTACTTGTTTTTTAAAATTAGCTGTACTTTCACTAACCAATATAATCATAAATAATAAATCAAAAGTGGATAATGAAAAGAACTTAATTCCCATAAAGCAGCCATTAAGTAACACGATAAACCGGACTTACTCTTCCAGGAACCAAAGGGATAGTAGCTTCAGCCTTGGTTCTCTCGGCTTCATCATAAGTGGGCAGTGTTGTGGCCACATTGTAAGATGGGGGCTTTGGAAACCCAGACTCATCTTTGTAGTCAAAATATGCTGCAGAATAAAAAGGCAGTCACAAACATCTGATGATTAGCTGAACAGAGGAAGACGAGGATTTCCACTAACTCTGGCAAACAAAAACCGGCCATCCCTTTAATTGTACATACAGAATAACTGAATCAAAAGGTTTACTGATGACTATGAGATGGGCAGTGATTTTCAAAGTGATCCACTTTTCAATTATTTAAATTCCAGGCTCACTTTGCGCCCCCTTCCAAGTGCTTTGAACACTTTTTCCAACTGTTATGTGGTGTGTTCATATTAACATAAGGAAATGTTCATATTGACATAAGGAAAACATTTAAGCTAAAAGGACTTCACGTATGTGTTTGTCAATCTGTACCATGGTTTCCTCTCATTAAAAACATAAAAAAGTAAAATTCATTTCTCACAGGTTTGTTTTAGCACTTTGATTCTTTCACGTTATTTTTACTATATATTATTATCTACGCTGTGCCTAAGGTAACTAATTCAGTTACAGAACCATTATTTATCTGTATTAAATCTTTCATTTCCTCTGTTTAACATTGCACTTCATTTCAGTGACTTTTATTACAAAAGATTCAATAGTTATTATTAGAAAAGATCTATTTACAAATAAATTTCTAAGCAATTTTTGGAAAAACAAGAATTGTGAAAAAATTCCTGTAGTTCATCAAGATTAACATTTTTCTTTCTTCTTTCCCTCTTTGGTTAATTGTAATTAACTTCCAAAATTTTTACCGTAATGTATTCTCAAAATTATCAATCAATACTATTCACTTCATTAACAGAAAAAAGGAGTGTACTTCTACTGTCTTGATATGGGCACAAAAAGCAGTTGATAAAATTCAACAACTACTAAAAATAAAAACACTTAGCAAATTAAGAATGAAAGAAAACTTTCTTAATCTGATCACAAGTCCTAGGAAAAACCTAGAATAAACATCATAATTAATTTTAAATTATTAAAACCTTTCTCCAAGATTAGAGAATTAGCTGAAAATGCCCACTATCACCACTTCTAATCAAACATTATCTTAGAGGTCCTATTAGTTGGTACAATATGTCAAAAAGAAAAAGAAATATAAGGATTGGGAAAGAAGAAATAATTGTCCTTAATCATGGATGACATGATTGTATATGTAGAAAATCCAAAAATATCTATAAAGCTATTAGAATTACTATATGAATTTAGCAAAGTCTCTGGATACACAGTTAATGCAAGCTATCAACTGTATTTCCACATGCCAGCAACAAATAAAAAATGAACTTATATATGGACTATTTACAAGAGCACCAAATTATAGTGAATATATAATAAATATATACATATAAATCTAATTTTACATTATAAATCTAATTACTCTACATACAAATCTAATAAAAGATGTACAAGACCTATAAAATGAAAATTATAAAATATTATTGAGAGAAATTAAAGAAGACCTGAATATACGGAGGGATATATCATGTTTATAGACTGGAAAATGCAATATTATAAAGAGGTTAATTCTCTTCAAACTCACCCACAGATTCAGTGCAATCTCAACTAACATTCCAGCAGTGTTTTTGTTTGTTTTGTTCCATTTTATAGAAATTGGCAAGCTGATTCTAAAATGAATATGGCAATGCAAAAGGCCAAGAAGAACTAAAGGAACCTTGAACAACAAAAAGGCTAAGCGACCTACACCACCAGAGGTCAAGATCATGAAGCTCTAGACCAAACAACAGAACACTGAGTCCAGAACGTCTCCACACATACACGGGCACCTGATTTATGACACTGCAGTGCAGAAAAAATGGTCTTTTCAATAAATGGTGCTGGACCAAAAGGATATCCTTATGGAAAAACAAATTATCTTGACCACTACCTGACACTACACAGAACAAACAGCTCCAGGTGGAATACAGATCTAAATGGGAAAAATAAAACGTCAAAGCTTTTAGAAGAAAATACAGGAAAATGTGTCATCGAAACGAAAGCTGCGACCTAATGCAATTTAAGAAACTTCTGGGATTTTTTTCCATGTCAAAATAACTATTTAACATACGGATACACATATACATACATACATATACATTATAAAAATTCGATATATAATTCCCTTTAAATCAAACCTTACCAAGAAGGCATATTACAAATTGAAATGCACAGTTTGAATTAGCCTGTTGTCAAAGTAATTCTGAATACATGAATAAAACTGATAGCTACTACTTTAAGACCAGGAAAATCAAGAACATTTTTATTTCTCTACTTCAAAAGATTTTTCAAAAATGGGATCCATCAATATAGATATCTCATATAATTTAAGTTTCCATGAGAAGTTTAATGTGACAGTATTTTCAAGTTTATTTAGTATATTTAAAACAGAAAAATTCAATATTTTTAAATGTACGCACCACAAATTAAAATAACCATAGGTAAAGTGAATACACAAAACAACGATTTGTGCTTTTTTCTCCCCACCGTTTCTAACCATTTTTCTCATAAATGAACTAACAGGTACACACAGTCAACATTTATGTAAAGAAATAAACAATGTTAATTTAACAAAGGGGAGAAGTGCCATTTTAGAGGTTTACTTAAAAAAGAAAGGTAAAGTAAAAATGGAAAACCCCAGTTCATAAATAATCAAAAATTAATGTTCGTGAGTAACTTACAATCTCTAAAAACATACTTCCCTGACACCTCATTTATGTGGAACTCAGAAAGCTCAGCAGAAACCCAGAAAGTTAAGGGTTTTTTTCATTTTTTTTTTTAAGGCCTCTGTGTAGTCAGATGAAATACCACAAAACCCAAAGTCTTTATTTAAGAGAGAGTTCTTCAGGCCTTATCCTAGAAACTGTGTATGTTTACTTTATACCCAATCTTAAGAAGTTCTGTTATTTGCTGTTGAGGTCCACAGCAAGATTAACAAAAACAAAAGAGAAAGAGGTAAAGGGACCTCAGGCCGACAGCAATGCCATCTGACGACCAGGGGGGAATTTAATTCTTGAATCAAAAAGTTCTACAAATCTCAATGAATAAAAGCATCACTGTACTACAGAACAGAATATCTACCAGAGAAGCTTTCTGATTGTAATCCCTAAATCGTAAAGAAAAATTTAAACAAAGAACATGAGGTATAAATGAATAAGGCAGCGAGAAGCTGTTGGAGAAAGATTTCTATCTAAAATGATTAAGTTTCTATAATTACAGAAAGTAGAAACTCAAATATTCAGAAAAAATTAACTTCTAATGAATCTGGAAAGCTAAATTAAAGGGTTTTACCCTTAATAAAACGGGAATCCAATTTATTACTAATCAGTGGGGGTTTCTGCTGGATGTATGAAATGGAAGAGCAGAACGGACAGTCTGGGCAGAAGTGAGTGAACAGAGCCTAGCACTGTGGTTCTTCTCCAAGTCTTGGTCTTCCAGTCTGAACCTGATTCCACGAGGCACACTAGACTTCTTCCAAAACCTTAAGTTAGCACTGTTAGTGTCAGATGCTTACAAATAAAAGAATCTTAATTAATACAAGGAGACAGGGTTCAGAATTTGAAGCCAGAGTGGAGGTGAGAACAGAGGTGAGGACCTATGTTCCTCCTAATTAGAACGGCAGTGTTAGGAGCACAGAGATTATCAATGGATTTAACCTCACACCAAACAACAGCTGCCTGGAGTATTATATTGAAAAGGATTCCAAGGCTGCATTTGGGATGAATGCTGTCTTCAACTGTCTATCTACCCTGGTGTGGGTTGGGTTCATTGGTGGCACCATGGGCCATGTACTTGCCACTCTGCCACAGTTCTGTTTTAGACAACATGGAAGAGGTTCCATCAAAACTCATCAACTTTCAGCAATTAAAGCAGAACTGATTATCAGGAGGCTCTAGTCCTTAACTACTGAGATTTTCTTTCTTCTCCTCCATCCCTTCTACAAATTTATGCAAAAATTAAAAAGAGAATTTGGCATAGATGAGAAGACAAAAGGTTAATTAAGGAGGGTTTAAACTACGAGGAACGTTTAAACTATAAGGAACAGGCTGAAAGAGCTGGGAGACTTCTAGTTTCTTTATTAAGAATTTACTAGCATAAAAGAAATCTACCATACTATAGTACCAAGTCATAGGCACTAGAATTATAAAGAGGAAGACAGCTAATGAAAAAACTACAAAAAGAACAAAAATCAGGCGATCACCTGGTTTCTGAATTTCTACTTCCTTTATATGAAGAATATGTTGGAATAAAATTGAGTTCCATGAAAAAGCCACACTGAAATGGGGTTTTATCTGTTTTTAGAATAGTAAGGCGTTTTTTCAGTTCAAGTTACAAAATAAAAATAACGTGAAAGACTTCTTAAGGAAAGCTGAGGCAAAGGCGAATACCAATAAACACTTACTAGACGGAAGTTTACAGCTCAGTGCATTTCAAGAGCTGAGCAGCCACCTGGTCCTGTGACCTACCTGCGCTCTCCGCAGAGATGCTGCTGTACGGTGGAGGAGCGTCGCCGGCGGCCTGCTCCGGCTCTCCTGGCTCTTCCTCATTCTGCAACTAAACAAACATTTCACACTTTAATGCAAGTATAAAGCCAATTAGAGAGAGAAGAACCTGAAAACTGGAACAGCCTTTCTGGAAAGCTACTGGGCAAAGTGTTTCAAAAGCCTTAAAATGTGGAAATCCTTTAGAGTATTCTACTCCCAGGAATTTATCCTAAGGAAATAATCAGACGAAGAGCAAAAAAGGTAGATATAAATGCCATTGTAGCAAAAATCGCAATCTAAGTTCCCATCATACGGATTTATTAAATAGACTGCAGTTCATCTCTCAAAGGACTACTACGCAGCCAGAAAAATGAAAACGAAGAAAATGCGACGACTTCGATTAATGTTTATGCTGTACTGTTACACGAAAAAACAAAACTTACCAAACAGTACACATCATATAATTTGGTTTTGAAAGACAGATATGTGATGGAAAGAAGATCTAGAATGACAGACATCTACAGTTTACACTGCTTATCTCTAGATGATATGATGATAGGGGAATTTTCCCTTTTCGTTGTTTATACGTATGTTCTAATTTTTCGTAAGGAAGATTTACCATGTATAATTTTTAAGTGAGAAAAATAATCTAATAATAATCTGTTAAGACAAAGACAAATCACAGCAAAGCAAGGTTTACCATCATCTTCAGTTTGCACACAGAAATTAAATCTTAAATAATAGAGACATTTACAAAAACATAAAATTCTACCTAATTCTACATGTAACCTCTGTCAGTACAACCTCTCCTTCGCTATCTCGGCAACTTTCTTGCTGGTCAGATCTACAGCTCCAGTTACTTTAAATAACTCACACTGAAAGTGCATCTTCCTGCCACTGCCGGTCTGGATAGTCTACCCAACTCATCTTCACAGAACAAAGACATCTGACTTAATTTTTCCAGTGTGACTACAGACTATAGCTCATTTAGAAGATGAACTGGCTGAGAATGGGAGTCAATCTGCAAAGCAATAAAAGAACACTTATCGGTATAACTGACTTGGGGGTGTGGGTCCCGGCTGTATACCATCATGATACACAGAGCCAACTGAGCCACCTGTAAAATACACACCCCTCTAAACCAACTACTACAAAGAACTCTATCTTGAATTGATACAGAAAAGCAGAGAGCCTGACCTGTGGTAACATGAAATAGAGCTCCCTAATTCATTTAATTTTAACCAACTGTCTCAGTCTCCAATTCCTATGCTACAATATTGGAAGCCAACAAAACGTTTCCGATTAATGCTGCAAAGCATTCCGTTTCAAACAAATTCTTATGCCAAATTTTCATCAACACTACCATCTGGGCACATTTCTTTGAACCCTAGTAATCTAATGTTAAACTTAAGGCACTCCCAAAATAACTGTATTATAACTAAGATGAATTTTCCTTTTAAAGGCAGGCATATGGTCAAAACAGCTACAGGGAAGCCAAATGTTCCTGGGACCCCAAATCAGTGAATTATTTAAATAGAGTTCCTGGGGTCGTGGTGCACTTGGAATACTTTTAACATTATCTGAAGCTCCAGACAGGGTATTCTCAGCCTGCTCCCACCTAACCTCTTGTTTCCTGGGAACGTCTTGAAAAGAAGCAAAAAAGCAGCAAAAACAGAGGCCAACAAGGACTTTTCAAGAATGCTGCCTTAATACACCGTAGCCAGTACTGTTCTTTATTTAAACCTAGCTTGCCATTTTTTGACCCATTTTATATTTCCTGAGCTTAGTCAAATAATCACGTTACCTCTACATAATTTAGGTTTTAGAAGGAAGCATGGCAATTCTAAGAAATACAGAAGTCCAAAGAATAAAGAGGTCTTATACGCCCGTATCTATAAGATAGACTGCCTGTCTCCTAGCAACCTGGAAATGTGAAATTTGATCATCCCACGCCAGGGTAACAGATAACAGAGCAAAGAAATTCCAGTCGTCTCAGAAACCCACATTTTCTCTTCAGTGAAGAAAAAAGAAACACTTCCAGGTGAACTTCTTTTGCTCCATTAAAATTCACCACTTTAGAATCATGTACTAATATTATTTCCAACTGAAAACAAAAACAAAACAAAAAAACACCCACTCTGACTGTGGAGGCTCCATAAACTGGGATGATCCCAGGACCTCACTGTACAGACTTCCCAATTCTGGCTTGCTTTCTGTAACACTGGTGACAAGTTTAGGCTCCATCAAGAAAGGTGCTTAAAATAAACTACCACAACGTGGGAGGAAAAGAGGCAATCGCCTTCAAAAAAGTATTTAGCGACCACCATCTGTGTGAATAACGACTTGCTAAACAACAGAATCCCTAAGTAAACATCTTTTACACCCTGGGGGCATCTACAGCCATTAATTTGGCTCTGCCAGTCAAACAAGTCAGGCAGCCACTAACAAGGGGGGATGTATGCACCAGAACTCATCTATAAGGCTATGAAACTGGTTACTCGGTTTCAAAATGTATTTTTAAGGTCCCCTTTTCTGTCCTTGGGAACCCTTCCTGGCAGCCCTCCCTCCACATCCCTGGCCTCAGGGATCTGTGGGCTCTCTCCTGAGGTTCTCTCAGAGAATAAACTGTCACTTCGGGGCTGGTGTTGGAAAGACGCCCAGACTCTTCTATCAACTGGTCACTGGGAGCCCAAGTCCAATCTACCTGTCACAGAGCCCCGGTTGTAAGGGACACTGTCAGAGGCAGGTGTGAGAAGTGGTGGGACCCTCCACTCCCTCCCTGCACAGTGCTACTGGGAGGGGGGGATCCTTTGATTGTGTATTTGTGACAGATGATAAATACCTGTTGGAGACTGGAATCTTCTCTGTCATATAATTTTTTTTAACAATTATGATCAATTTTTCTTATCTCCAAATGAGATTTAAGTAGTATTTTTTCCAAATAGGATTATACAATTAACTATGGCTGCCATTATAAAGTATTGAGTTTAGTACAAAACTACTTATAACTACCTATGTCTCCATCACTGAGATAGGAATAATCATCTGAAAATTTATGTGGCCTTTCTCTTTACCACATGCCAGGCTGTGCGCTCACTTCCCCTTTCCCGATTATCTGTGCTCTGCTCTACACTCTAACAACCCTGTCACGGCTCCCCAGGAGAACCCTTGAACTTTCCATGTTCTCTAGATATATCACAACCTGCTGTGCTACCTCTTGGCCTTGATCACCCTCAATTTATTTTTTTAATATTCACCCACAAATAGGTGTTAATAATGTTTTGTCCTCTAGGTTGAGCCTCTGAAATGTAGCACCTCTAAAACAAACGATGTTTTCCTTCATACCACATTCCTCTGTACCCTATCTGCACTGTTGCTATCAGAAATAATAAGATACAACATTTTAGCTAAACAACAGTTTACAGAATCTCCCATAAAGAAATCACACATGGCTCTAGTGCTAACAGAAGCAAACCTAATTTCACAAGTTTAAAGACACTTATACGCTACAGGTTTAAATCCTTATTTGAGTTCCAACCCCAGCCAGGTGGCTTCATCACTGCCTTTCCCTAAGTACTTCTAAAGACGATCTTCCATTTAGAAAGGAGCTGTTTGTCAGCAATAGCAGAGCCAGGGCTAGGATTAGGGCTATGTAAGGGACAACATTTACAACTGTACCCATCGATGGTGGTACCTAAAGGCACTTAAAAGTCATTCTTGCATTTCTTCTATTTACTAAGAATGAGAGAACAACAAAAAAACCCTACTAAACAACAAAGAGAAAAACAAAAAAAGCACCACAAATCCTTATACGTGAGGTTTCAAAATAAACCTCACAATTCACACAAACACAACACGCATGTGGAAAATAATGCTGAACAATCCAATAAATCCATAAAGTTACAAGTATTTGCACCACTCATTATTATTTTCTTGGTTGACTCCTATTTAAACAGCAAGAAAATTCTTGTAAGTTTTAAATCTTTTTTTTAAGTTATTAACTATAACTCTCAGAAAATCCTGGATCAATGTCTAAACTCTAGCTTTAAAAGTTATTTACCCCTTCTAATTTTAGAGTTATTTTCTAAAACTTTTATCTTAAAATGCAATTTTTAAACCTCTCATTACCCAACCCACTACTTCTGCATACTCTTTAAATCCTACCAAATGAGACAGTATAATTACCAGAAAGTAAACAAGCACATTTCTTTAGGTAAACAACTGAGTATGCTATTTTACTCTGTTTTTCAGAAACAGCCAAAGTTAGTGAGGACTGTAAACTTTCTATTGTATATAGATGGTAGATTTCTAATTGTATATTGTATATTGACTGTAAACAGTAGTATTCTAACATAACCAAATTCTTTACCTTCAAGAATAGTTCTCTATCAAATTGTTATTAACTAGGGGATGGCTTTTAAAACAAGGTAAATAATTCCAACAAAGAGAAACTTAATAAAAAGACAACCTGATTTAAAAATGAGCAAAGAATTTTAACAGACATTTCTCCAAAGAAGATATACAAATCACCAGTACACAGAAGATACTCAACATGATTAGTCATCAGAGAAATTCAAATCAAAACCATGAGATACCACTCAATGGTATGGCCATCAAAAAATAAAAAAGGAAAATAAATGTTGTTCAGCATGTGGAGAAATTGGAACGCTCATACACTGCTGGTGGGAATGTAACGTGGTGCAGCCACTGTAAAAAACAGCTTGGCAGTTGCACAAAAAAAAAGTTAAACACAGAGTTATAAAACGACCCAGCAATTCCACTCCTAGGTATATATACCCAAGAGAACTGAAAACATATTTTCACAGAAAAACTTGTACAGCAAAACTGTTTACAACAGCATTATTTGCAGCAGCCAAAATGCTCATCAACTGATGAACAGATAAACAAAATACGGTATATCCATCCCATCCACAAAAAGGATGAAGTACTAATACATGCCGTAACACAGACGAACCTTGAAAACATGATGCTAAGCAAAAGAAACCAGTCACAAAGACCACATAATGCATCATTCCATTTATATAAAACGTCCGGAAAAGGCAAATCCCA